TATATTTTAGGCATACATAATGAACATATTCATCATACGGAATTTGTCTCTACATGATGTAAGTTGATTCTTTTTTCCCCATTCCTCTCCCTTCCCTTTAATCCCTTTCCCCTCCTTATTTACAAAAGCTTTGCTTCCGTTTTTCCTTCCTTCCCCCTCCTCCTTCCCTTGTTCCTCTTCCCATGTGAACATTTTCTTTCATTTCACAATATTTATTAGTACAGTACACATAAAATGTTAGAAACATTAAGCATTTAAGTATTTTATTTCTTTGTAAAAACAAAACAAAACAACAACAAAAACTTACCTAGAGAGGTTTGGGCTGAGGGTGTCTCTTGGTGAATTCCAACCTGTTACCTGCTGCATGTCGGTAATGTGAGTTATCTCCAAGAGTTTCTCCAGTGTGGCGTTCTTGGCCAGCGTCCCTTCCTCTGGGGCACCTTTGCTGGAATCGGTTTCCCGGGTGTCACAGTGCGCACCTGCGCTAAGTTCCCCAGCTGCTGCCTATCTCAGTGTTGGCAGTGTCCACATGCCCAAGGCCAGATGTTTCTGCTACATCTCCATGTTTGATTCTAATGGGGAGAGGGAAAAGAAAGAAGGAAAAAGTGAAAAATAAAAGACAGGAAAGGAAAACACAAAAACAAAGCTTTGTCAGTGGGCAAGGCAGGAGGGGTTGAAGGGAAGGTAGGGGATTGGGGGAAAAATAAGTTATACCACATCCAGGTACAAATTCTCTACAGTGAATGTGATTGTTGTGCATATCTAAAATGTACCAAGGAACTCTAATGCAGAAAAAATAAAAATAAGATTCTAGTTTCATTTGAAGCATTATTTCTTTTTTTGCTACACTTGCATCTTTGTTGGCAAACACCCTCTCGCAATAAATTACCATTGCAGACAGTCAGTAAGGCAAGTACAAGTTTTTCCATCTCTGTGTGAGCTGAAAAGCAGAACCCCAGTGGCCAATCACTGGCAGACTTTGAAAGAAGACATTTGCTTGGTCACCGATCCTGAGGGACATCTGTTATTTATGTGTACTTCACAGACTAAAGACCTATCAGAGAAGTGTGCATCTTATGTTGTTACTACCTACAGTAACTGAAGATTGGACCCTGTTCTTAGGTGACTAGTGTTATTTAACTAACTTATGGTAGCTAAAATTCATACATATTGGAACCTTTAAAAGAAAGGATTGTTTATATAACACTTGAAAACCTTGTATTCATCACCTCAATATCTGTAGCAAAAATAAATATAAATTAAATTTCAAATGTTGTATGTCCTTGAGTATTTTTAAACTTCTGGACTAACATTATAATTACTACTATGTTCAAGGAAATAACTGGTAAAATTAAAAGGAAAAATTTATCAAAAATTATTTCAAGTTGCCTGGCATGGTCCAAATACCTATAATCCCAGCTCCTTGGGAGGCTGAGGCAGGAGAACAGCAAATCTGAGCACAGCCTAAGAAACATGTGAGACCCTGTTTCAAAATTTTAAAAAGGAGCTGGATGTGGTGGCACACACCTGTAATCCCAGCACTTGGAATGCTGAGGCAGGAAAATTACTATGAGTTCAAGGCAGGTTGAGCTACAAAGTGAGTTCAAGGCCAGCCAGAACTGTATAGTAAAGCCCTGTCTCCAAAAATAAAAAAGGTCTGGGGATACAGCTCAGTGATAAAGCATTTGCCTAATTTGCAGCAAGTCCCTGGGTTCAGTCCCCAGCACCACAACAAACAACCAAAAAACAGTTGGATGAATGGGGCATTTTCCACTTAGAGCACAATCTCAATATCTCTGTCTGTCTGTCTCTCTTTGTCTCTTTCTCCTTGGGAATCAAGCCCACAGCCCCTCACATACTAGCCAAATGCTCTTCCGCTGAGCCCCAGAATGTGTAACCTTGGGTATTGCAAAAATCTTCTTTAATGTTTGTTGAAGACCAGGATTTGGACAAGTATGTGCAAAACTACTTGTCATTGGAAGGTTCACTTTCTTGTTACTCAGAAGGTCTGATCCAGAAACGTCAGCTCTAGAGCAGCCAAGTACCCCTGTGCTGGTTGGGTGTTTTGCAGTTTAGGGCGGTGCTCTCTTTAAGAGCAGTCCATTGGAGTGACACTGGAACTAAACAGCGCCAACTCACCTGGCTCTTTGTGACCTTATAAATTACTCCCTCTTACTTTTTACCAGTAGCAGCCTTTTTAACTCAGTATATAAAATTTTCTATTTATACCTGACATCTGTGCCTATCAATAACATCACAAATGCATGTCAAACATTTTATGCATGGCATAGCTGTATTTAGTGGAGACGTATCAATAAGGTAATGGTTTTATTATTATTTTATTAGAAACCAGAATTGTTATTTTTAGAAGCTAGAAGTCCTTTGAAATGTAAAATGTCAGGTCAACAAGGTGCCAGTTCAATGCCAAGTACCTGCCAAGAGTCATTTACATCCCATTCTGTGATGGCTTTTCATTTCTTTAAGGCCTGGAGTCTCAGATAGCACATCTGTTTTCTTAACAGTGTCATTAATTTGTTGAACTTATAAATGTGAATCACAGCCACCCCCACACTTCAATGACTAAAAGGGAGACTCTTGCATCTTTAGTCAGCCACACTTCTGTCCGTGAGGGGCAACACTGACAATAGCAATATTTTCAATGGCTAAGAATTCATATTTCTCTAGAATTTAATGATGAATAAACTTTAGTTTGAGTAGAACATTTAAAAAAAAAATAGGGTCTTGCTATGTAGTGCAGGCTGGCCTTGAACTCAATTATGTAACCCAGGCTGGCCTCCAACTCATGGCAATCCTCCTGCCTCAGCCTCCATGCCTGGTTGAGGAGAACTTTTAATGGAACTCCTGGTTAGGTTGCTGTACATGGCTGTCGGTACGATGTGTTTCAAAGGAAGTATCATCTGGGCATTTTCAAAAAACTGCCCAGTTTGTAGATTGGTATTGTCCTTTATAAGCATCAGAGCACTCAAAAATTGCCTGGAAATCCCTAAGAGGTTAGTAGGACATGGTCAGACCTGAGATTCTGCATGCTAAGGAGTTTCCAGGAGGTGCTGATTCTCCTGAGGTGGGAACAACACATCTTCAGACAGCAGGGGTGGATTCTCTGCCTGAGGGACAGCAGGGAACTGGAAGGCCCCCCTTTTAGTTCTGTAATTTTCAATCTTGTTCAGCTCAGCGGTGACTCTAGAAAGACATTTCAAGGATTCCTGAAAGTTCTCCCTTAATAAGAGTTACATACTTCATTTGTCTCTGCTATGAAAAAAATCCAGCCCAATTTGGGGTGACATAAGCAAATAAATGTACTAACTGTGCAGCTTTTTTTTTTTCTTTTTGTAGTTCTTTTCCTCCAGAGTGCTACCTAGGTTATTGCCAGAGATAGCTATGCACATTTCATAACGTGCTAGTGAGGTACTAATTCCCCAAGTGAGGTAATGATGAAGAATTAAGTATATTTTTTTTAACTGTGATAACTAACATTTATATACTCTGTCCTGAGTCCTCATTTTATCTTCAATAACTGTTAGGTTGAAAAAGTACCAATAACATCTGTTTTACAGATTAAAAAAAAAAACAACTCAGGATCAGAGCTGCTCAGTGAATTATTCAAGGCTACACATTAGACAAGTGGCTGGGATGAACCCTAGGCCTGAATCTAAACCTCATGCTTTCTTTCCTATTTTTAAACTGTTAAAACTTTTCATTTTTCTCCAGTTTGGGTCCAACACACATTCTCCAATCATGCATGAAAATAAACTGTGCTATCCTTGATTAGAATGTAGATTCTTAGGTCCCCAGCCCAGAGAAGTCAGGGAGAGGGTATCACAAGGTTCTGCATAATCAGCGTCCCATATAATTCAAATTAAGACGGTCTGATAAAGTAGAATTCAATTTAAACCGCTCAAAGGAGCACAATGCTATTAAATCAGAACTTCCTATAGCAAGAGTCAATCACCCTCTTGCTTTTGGCAGAGGCTCAAAGGCAGGCAGGGAAGTGAAAAGCTTTGATGAAAGGGGAGAGCCCTACGCACCCTCTGATTGGAAGATGTTGGCCTGGGAAAGTTGGGGGCGACTAGTAGATGCAAGGGTATTTGATGTGATTGGTTTGGAGGACATATTCGGCTTTCTCTGTTGGTCCTGAGGTGGAAGCAGGGGTAAAAACAAAGAAGCTGGCAGTAATTGACCTCAACCTGACTGTCCTGGTCCAACCGTTGCAGGCCATGGGTGGACTTGCTGGGACCTTAGGGGGCTCAGAGTTCCACTGTCCTGTAGAGTACGGGTGTTCTCTGTTGAAGGGTTCTGTCTCCGGGACTTGAGAAACACACTGTGACCTAGGAGTGGCTCCACCCTGACCTTCCTCTCTGCAGCTGGTGAACTGTAAGCTCCAAGAGAGCTATGAACTTTCTTCCCACGCTTAACCAATTCCCAGCCCTAAGGCGCTCAGAAGGCACTTAATAAAATCTTGCTACTGAAGGATAAATGTAGATACTTGAAACTAGCTTTTGTTGGAACAAGAAAATGGAACTTTTTGGTGTGGCACATGGGCATCTTCATGTGAAGGAGCTGGCTGTCATCAGACCAGGTGGCCCTTGCTCCTCGAAGCTACTGGTGCTCTAGTCCAGGAACCTGAACCCCAGTCCTCGGACTCCCCTTGGCGCTGGCTGCCCCGAGGTCCCTCCAGGCTTGCAGGTTACCCCGGGTTCCCCTCACAGCCCAGGCTCCTTCAGCTTGGCCGCAGTCTGTCCCAGTCTTCCCGCGCGCCCCCGGCCCTCGTTCCCTCTTCAGCGCCGTAGGTGGTCTTTCAGGACTCACAGATTTTAGCCCAGGGGAGGCTGTCCAGGGAGACCGGCGCCCCGGCAGGATTGGGCGGGCGCGGCGCGGAGTCGCCCCGGGAAGCCGCCCCACCTGCGCGGGTTGTTCCCGCGCCCCGGCTGCGCGGGGGGCTGTCCGGGCGGAGGCGGGGGAGCAGCCGGGGCACCAAAATAGGAGCCGCTGTGAGCTGGAGCCGCACTCAGGCAGCCTCGCCGCGCGCTTCCAAAGATGGTCAGAGGGTCCCGCGGCGCCGCCGCCCCCGCTCGCCGCTAGCAGGGCCGCACAGCGTCCCCGAGCCGCCGCCGGAGGTAGGTGCGCCGCGGGCCCGGGCCGGCGGGGGGCGGCAGTGCGGGGCCGCGGGGAGGGCGAGGCCGCGCCGCCTCCGAGCCCAGCAGCCTGGGCGCCGCGCAGACAAAGGCCGCGTGGGCTCCGGGCCGGGCCGAGCGCGTGGGGCCGCCCGCCGCGCGCTCCACACCTGCGCTCCTCGCGGCGCGGACGCCGGCCGGTGTGGCGCCCTGGAGCCGAGCCGCGGCAGGCCCGAGCGCGCGGCCTCCGGGCGGGAGGTGGCCCGGGCCCAGGCGGGCGCCGAAGCCCCTGCGACGGGCGCGGGGAGGGGCGCGGGCTGCCGGCCGGCCTCGGCGTCTCCCCTTCCCGAAGCAGAGGCCCAGCGTTTCCCTTTTCCGAGATTTTTTTCCTCCACTTATATTTCGACGATCCCTTTCGTGGCATCCCGATGTGACTTGAAGGGGAGAAGGAGCTAGGGGAAAAGGTTGACTTGGGACCGAGCTGAGGCGTCCAAGGTCCGGCGGCCAATGTGGTGGCCGCTCCGACTCTTGGCTTGTCAAGCATGAGATCTTCTTTGGGACCGCCAGCCTAGCACAGATCAATATTTCTGCTTAAATGTGCAACTGAAATACCCGGGGGTGGGGGGCTCATTTCCGCCCCTGAGCGACCCTGAATTTAAATGGATCACTGTATGAATTGTGAAACAGCCCAACCACATTTTGCATTTGCTGCTTAGAATGCTGAACTTGGTCTAGCTTTACAGTATCCCCAATGCTAATCTGATTCAAGTGATTGGAATATATAGAGTTGATTGAAGTAATGTGTAAAATTGAAAAGACATTTATTATTTCATATTTATTACAGCCATGGCTTTAAAAGGACAAGAAGATTATATTTATCTTTTCAAGGATTCTGCACATCCGGTGGATTTTCTTGATGCATTCAGAACATTTTATTTGGATGGATTGTTTACTGATATTACCCTTCAGTGTCCTTCAGGCATAATCTTTCATTGTCATAGAGCTGTTTTAGCTGCTTGTAGCAATTATTTCAAGGCAATGTTCACAGCCGACATGAAAGAAAAATTTAAAAATAAAATAAAACTCTCTGGCATCCATCATGATATTCTGGAAGGCCTTGTGAATTATGCATATACTTCTCAAATTGAAATAACTAAAAGAAATGTTCAAAGCCTACTTGAAGCAGCAGATCTACTACAGTTCCTTTCAGTAAAGAAGGCGTGTGAGCAGTTCTTGGTGAGACACCTGGATATTGATAATTGCATTGGCATGCACTCTTTTGCAGAATTTCATGTGTGTCCAGAACTAGAGAAGGAATCTCGAAGAATTCTATGTTCGAGATTTAAAGAGGTATGGCAGCAAGAAGAGTTTCTGGAAATCAGCCTTGAGAAGTTTCTCTTTATCTTGTCCAGAAAGAATCTCAATGTTTGGAAAGAAGAAGCTATCATAGAGCCAGTTATTAAGTGGACTGCTCATGATGTGGAAAATCGAATCGAATGCCTGTACAATCTACTAAGCTATATCAACATAGATATAGATCAAATGTATTTAAAAACCGCATTAGGCCTTCAAAGAAGCTGCTTACTAACAGAAAACAAGATCCGCTCTCTAATATGCAATGCCTTGAATCCCATGCGTAAAGAAATTTCCCAGCGGTCCACTGCCACAATGTATATCATTGGAGGCTATTACTGGCATCCTTTATCAGAGGTTCACATATGGGATCCTTTGACAAATGTTTGGATTCAGGGAGCAGAAATACCAGATTACACCAGAGAGAGCTACGGTGTTGCATGTTTAGGACCCAACATTTATGTAACTGGAGGCTATAGGACGGATAACATAGAAGCTCTTGACACAGTGTGGATCTATAACAGTGAAAGCGATGAGTGGGTAGAGGGTTTGCCGATGCTCAATGCCAGGTATTACCACTGTGCGGTCAGCTTGGGTGGCTGTGTCTATGCACTCGGTGGTTACAGAAAAGGGGCTCCAGCAGAAGAGGCTGAGTTCTATGATCCATTAAAAGAGAAATGGATTCCTATTGCAAATATGATCAAAGGTAAGTGTGGGTTTTGTTTTATCCTGTGTTTTTTAGATGCCTAGGTTTAGGCCAGCAGTCTCATTTCTCTTGCAAGTAACTTTAAATAGGATTTATCACTTTGGGATACTCTCCAAAACTATAGTAGGTTATACAAACAGGATTGAACAGAATGTTCCAGGTAAAAACAGTAGCGTAGTCCTTAACTTGTTGTGAATTTTTTAATTAAAGTATACTACTCAGGCTAGAAAAAAAAATCAGGAAACAGAAATGTAAGAAAACAGGTTAATTCATTTTGTTTACTCTGATTATACCTCTCTCTAAGTGAGGATCTTGCTTCAAATCTTCAGATTTTTTTTTTGAGTCTGTCCCACTATGTAGTTTAGGCTAGTTTTGAACTCACTATGTAGCCCAGGCTATCCTTGAACTCTTGGTAAGACTCCTGCCTCAGCCTTCTGAGGCCTAGGATTACAAGTGTGCGCCCACCACACCCACCTAAATCTTCAGAATTTATACTTCAATCGAAGGCTAAATGAAGAAACAGACCTGCATAGTTTTATTAATTTATGTTTTAGTTATTTTTAACAATTTATTTTTGAACTCAAACCCTTTTCAGTTCTGCTTTTTTTTTTTTTTTAATATTTACCTTTTTTTTCCTTCTCAAAATATACTGATCATCTTTCAAAAGGTCCTTCATTAAAGCTTTGGAATGTTTGGTCCCTATAAGATATAAAAAAAGTAAATTGTCCCAAGAACTGAAGACAAAAAAATCTCTGCACTATGTGGTAACAGGCTTGTCTCAGAATAAAGAAGAGGAGCAGATCCTACAGCCTTTCTTTTGTGGCCCACAGAGCCAGGCACACTGCTGGGTCTCAGTGTCTGTCTGATAAACTCTGTTTTCTGCTGTGCTTGGTAATGTACTAGCCTTGTTCTCCTTTTCTCCCACTGAGAAAAAACTGAACTGGAATCTGATTTCACTACATTTATTCACTGTTGCTGGGGAGTTCCAAAAACAGCTGGTAGGTTGTTACCAAACTTGTGTCATTTTGTCCCAAATGTTTCTTCCCAGGCCCTTCTGTTTCTTTTTTTAATGCTGATGAGGCTGTGGGAATTTGACCTGGTCTGGAAATCTGAACTGGTGCAATCTTCGGACGACCAGCAGGAAGTTTGAGAGGCAACGTGGTCTTGTGATCAGGCAGCTACACTGCAGGGGCAGCTGCACTGCCGAGGTCCAAATCCCTACTTTCTACTTCCTGGGGAGCTTGGGAAAATTGCTCAGTCTCTTCTTGCACCGGCTTTGGAGTCTGCATGATGAGAATGAAACAGTACATAGTTTAGGATCGTGGGAGGATTAAGTAAATTTATGCTGGTGGAAAGACCGATTGTCACGGATGTCAGTACTGAAGAACCATCAGTTTAAGAGGGCAAGAACACTATTCCTGTTAAATCAGAACCGATCCTGCCCATGCCCATAGGTACGGCAGTAGCTGGAAGGGTGAGAGAACTGAGCCTAAAGCCCACTGCAGCTGATCGGTTGGGTTTTTGCTTTGTCCTCACCTTCCCCACTACTTAACTTTCCAGTATGGTCCTGACGCCTATCCTACAAAAAAACAAGAAAAGTCCAACTATTTTAGCAGCTATTGCCAGCCTGAGTATGCTTCTGCTTGTTTCTTAATGGTGAGATAATGGGTTCAGTAGTACAGACTGTATTTCTCTGAGGATGGATGTTACGACTACCAGAATTTTAAAAAGTTGCATTTGAAATGAGGCTTGCTGAAGAGAAAATGCTGCACTGCTTTATCAGTGAGAAAGAAAGGAAGCCATGTGTGTGCTTGCCTTACCTTTGAGTAGAATGGGAGATGCCACCGTATGTCCCCAAAACCTCCCACACCTGCCACCTGGGCCTAAATTTCAGAGATTAATTCTTTTTAACTTTTGAGGTTTTGATTCTTGATTATGTCTAGTTAACCCAAGGAAGTTTGGGTTGCCAGTTTTGTGCAGCCTTGACTAGTACTTCTGATGGAGACATTCCAAAATTTTAGTTACTCAGTTTTCTATAGAGAGGATAACGTTTATCTCTGTTTTATTTGTAGTCACGAGGTGAACTAGCAGCTTTCTCCAGTAATTTGTACAGGGTGAAATTCCAATTTCATTTCCTTTTTCGGTTTAGGGATGTGATATACAGAGAAGAAATAAAAATTTGGTTATGAACCCCTAAGATTTTTTTATCATAGCTACTGTACTTTTAAACCCATTTTTATTTTGCAGTGCAAATGAACTGAAATTAAACTACATCGAGCACATAGCAATGCTAAATAATAATTGGCTGAAAGACTAAATTCAGTATTTTCAACTGAATTGAACCTTAGCATCTTTCTTTTCTTTTCTTCTCTCATTGAACCAGTTTCCTCTTCCTCCTGACAATTCTGTGGCATAAGTGTCCCCCAGTTGGCCCACTCGGGACCTCAGAACTGGCTGACTGGTCTGGGACTCAGTCATCAAGGCCTGCTGGACCTGCCTCTCACCTCTGCACCCTTCCCTCCAGAGCCAGACCCCTTCTAAATCAGGCCCTCTCCACTTAGGCCAACAGTACCTACATCTTCCTGACTCCTTTCCATCTTCCTTTCTTCGTTCCTTTCATGCTCTCTTTAAGAACTCAGCTGAATTAAGTCCAGATTTTTAGCTGGGCATCAGGACTCTTGACCATAAATGCCACTTGTTCTGGTCAACAGGCTTTTTGACGTTGCCCAGTAAACCTTTGCCTCCTTTTTATGGAACTTCTTCTGGCCTATACCTGTTCTGTGTGTCTCACCCTGTCTTAAAGAACATATGGAACCTTCCTTTTTCATTTTTTTTATCCTGTATATCACCTAGCACATTGCCTCACATCTACCATCAGTAGTAACAAAACCCCTAATAAACTTAGCTGGTTATTCACTGCAAAAAGGATAAACACTCAATCTAACAGTCTGATTTCTGTTGACACACAGGCGTGGGAAATGCTACTGCCTGTGTCTTACACGAAGTTATCTACGTCATTGGCGGCCACTGTGGGTACAGAGGAAGCTGCACCTATGACAAGGTCCAGAGCTACAATTCGGATATCAATGAATGGAGCCTCATCACCTCCAGTCCACACCCAGGTAAACAGATACTCCCCCAAATACTGCCCCGAGCGGTTTATCCGCATCAGACATGGCTAAAAATGAGTGGAAATGGAAAATACTAGGTTTGTGGTAGACTACACATGGGTATAATTTAAAAGCTCAGAATATCCACATATCCATCTAATAATCATTAAATCAGGTATTTTCCTGATTAAATCAGGTATTTTCCCTAATGTGTATGTATAACACATACTAAGGCTGTGTGGTTAAAAGTGATAGGTTCTTTTTAAATTTTTTCACTTATGTTCTTTTTTGTTGTTTGTTTCCTGTTCCTTTATTATGTGTTTTCTTTCATTTACTACATGCAATATTTAAAACAAAGTTTTTATAGACAGTTAAAAAGGCACTAGTGCGTCAGATGGTCCAGAGGGTACCTGCAGATTGAAGTTCAGAGTCCAGAAGCCTGTTCTGTGTGGGTTTCGAGTACCATGAAGTACTCATTGCTGTGATACCAGAGCCCTGTGTTGTTGGCACCTAACAGTCTTAAAGGGGCATTGCTGTTCTGCATGGGGAATGAAGGGCCTTCTCCTGTGACGTCTCTTTTTGTGATGAACTCAGGGGTATATTTTTAGCCTATTTGGGGAGTGGGGCTGGAGCTTAGTGATAAGAGAACCTACTTAGCGTGCATGAAGCCCTGGGTTCAATCTCAGGACCAGAAAAAAAAGGAAGTTTTAACCTTTTTCTTTTTTCTTTTTCCTTTTTATCGGTACTGGGGATCGAACTCAGAACCACCTGCTTGCAAGGCAGGTGCTTATGCTGCTGAACTAAATCCCCAGCCCTGAAGTTGTAATCTTTTAACAATTGTGTCACATATTTAACTTCCTTTCACAAGAAAAAAATTATATTGTCATATCACTGTAATTACTTTGAATCATCTTCCATAGCATGTCAGACCTCTATGTGTGCTACTGGAGAGGGCAGTTAGCACCCACAAGCTTGAACTGTCTGAGACTAACAGTAATAACTAACCTTACTAAGCACGTACTGTAGATCACTTACTGGCTAAGCATTTTGCATGTAGCATTAGCCAAATTCTCACTGCTATTCTATGGGTGCATACTTTTTTAAAAACTTGTACATGTTTATAGCACATTATGTTTACATTCCTTTTTTCATCCCTTTTTCTCTATCTCTTGATCTCTTCATTTGAGAAAATCTGTCTTCCAACTTCCTATCATCTTTTATTTTGCTCTTTATTTATAATTTGAGTTTCTCATATAAAAGGAATCATGCTATATTTAAACTTGTGTGTCTGGTTTATGTCACCTTATAATCTCAAGGTGCATCCATTTTCCTACAAATGCCTCAGTTTATCCTTTATGGCAGAGTAGTACTCCATCGTCATATTTTATAAATATCATATTTTCTTTCTTCATATTCACCTGTTGATGAACTTATATGCTGCTTCCAAGATTTAGCATATTTGGAAATAAAATCCTAGAAAGTACAAGTAACTTTCCCAACGTCATACAATTTGAAAGTGGTGCTCCAGGAGCCACATTCTGGCAATCTGATTCCACACTGTGCTCCAAACACTAAGCAATCCGCCTCTCCTGAGGCGTTCCCGCTTTTGATCTGTGCTTCATCCATTATATGTCTCATCTTTCAGTTTATGTGCAGCACACCTGAATTGGGTGCTGCATCTCCGTATGCCACAGGCTTTGCATAATAAGAAAGTTGGCCTGCAGATGGCCTGACACTGAAGACACCATAGACTGGGCAGACTTCAGTCTCTTAATCATTCAGCTCATTCTAGACTCCCCACCACTCTGTTGTGACCAATGCACTTCTAATGGAAAGTAATGATAATACGTCATACTGAGTTGCAGCTACTTTACTTAGTTTGTGCCAGGTACTACTTTTCCAGTAATTATACAGATATGAATCTCTTTGTATTTGTCTGCTTCGTGTTACTATGATAGAGTACGTATGGCAACTAAATTATAAAGAGAAAAGGTTTGTTTAGCTTACAGTTTGGAGGCTCATATTCAAGATTGGAGGCCCACACTTATTCAAGTCTCTAATGAGGGGAGTAGGAAGCAAGGTAGAAGCATTTGTCAGAGAAGGTGCTCACTTCACAAGCCCAGAAGCGAGGAGAGGGACAGAGAACTGGTTTCTAGGACCTGCTCGTGGTGACCTAAGGACATCCAAGAAGACTCACCCCTTGAAGGTCCACAGCATCTTCCAGTACCACCATGCTGGGGACCAAGTCTTTGCAGGTGGTCCTTTGGATGAGATGACTCGTATTCAACCACAGCACTATCTAAACTTTTTAATAATCCTGTAAGCTAGGTAGGTACTGTTAGCTCTTTTCCCATCCACTGAGAGCAGAGACATTAAATGCAGTAAATTTCCCATGGCCAGCCAGCTAGTGCTCATTAAGAGGTGAGGTTCAACCCCAGACAGTCTGGCTTGGAGCCCGTGCTCTTAACTTTGTGTGTGTTTTTTTTTTTTTTTTTTTTTTGGTCTTTTTGAGACAGGGTCTCACTATGCAGTTCAGGCTGACCTTGAGCTCACTTTGTAGCCCAGGCTGGTGTCGAACTCACAGTGATCCTCCTGCCTCAGCCTCCCGAGTCCTGGGATTACAGACGTGAGCCACTACGCCCAGCTCGTGCTCTTAATTTTGCTGTTACCTCATTTGACCCTCGTGTCAACCTTATGAATTAGATAATTACTCTCCCTATTTTGTGTTTAGACCTATCTTTCTAATAAAATCCAATATATAGAAAAGTCAGATTAACAAATTACCAGGAGATATAGTATAAATTTAATATAACTTCATAGAGGAGGTCTTTAAAATTAAGTGTTTCATAGCATATACAGCTTATTAGCTACATGAAAAAGAGTCTAAAAGCACTGTAACTTAAGCCTTATATTAAAAACCAAGGAAAATTGAAAATTAATCCCAAAAATTACAGTCTAAATCAATAAGAAATACAATTCCACATGTAAAGTTTTGGTTTACGTTGAACTTTTTCCTGGTCAGAGGTGAAAAACATTAAATTAGCACCATGCATGATGTATTCTATTTGACTTTCGCAGTACTTAAAATATTTTCGAACTGACTTGCTACTGAAATTTACAATTGAGGATTTCACATGAAACTCATGGTTTCTTGCTTTTAGAGAAGTTGGAAGGTCCGGCAACCAGGCAGTGTCCTTCCCGGGGGCAGTCGCTGGAGCCCCTCGTAGCTGTTCCGTCAGGGCTCCTTTCCTCCAGTGCACCCCACCCATCCAGTGCTGCCACATCGCGGAGGGAGGAGGGCGGCAGTGTCACTCTTTTTTTTTTTTTTTTTTTTTTTTTTGTCTTTTTCCTTTTCATCGGTACCAGGGATCGAACTCACGACTGTCTGCTTGCAGGGCAGGCGCTTATGCCACTGAGCTAAATCCCCAGCCCCTGGCAATGTCACTCTTGACTTGCTTCTGTCAGCCTGGCGGTTGTCTCCTTAAGCTCTTGAAGTCATTTGCATGTGCATCCACTGAGTTACAGCAACGCATACCCTTACACACCTCCCAGATGCCTCCTGAAGAATTAAGGTAGATCAGTCATCAGATCCAGGTCTGCATCATACAGTTACATGGCTTAGACTGGGAAGAAATGACTACTATTATTTTCCTAAAGGGTAAGACAAATACTGTATTTTATCTTAGCCCCTTTAATAGGGTAGCTTTGTATAATTGAAGAGCTTTGTCTAATGAAACTAAGTTCATTAAATTCAAGATAGCAATTATTAAGACCCTTCTTTGGGAAAAGTGATCCTCTAATAATTATGTAAAGACACAAAGATAATTAAGTCCTAGTCTTTGCTGCCATAGGAACTAGAATCTAGTAGCAAATACACATACTTTATAGGAATAGATGACAATATTTAGCTAAGTTCTTTTGGTTTTTTTTTTTGGTACTGAGGTATCCTTGCACTTGCCAGGTAGGCGCTTGTGCCACTGAGCTAAATCCCCAGCCCCTACTTTAAGTTCTGTATAAATGAGTGCTGTGGTGATTGAGAATACTGAGAACTTATTATCAAGAAATCAACCAATAGCAAATGCTGGGCTGTGGGGAAAAGGGAACCTTTCTCCACTGCCGGTGGGAGTATACACGGGTGCAGCCACTGTGGAAATCAGTGTGGGGATTCCTCAAAAAACTAGGATTAGAGGTTCCATTCAATCCAGCTGTTCCTCTTCTGGGGATCTTTCCAGAAGAATTAAAAACACCATACCACAGCAATATATGTGAATCTGTGTTTATAGCAGCACAATTTGTAATAGCTAAATCTTGGAAACAGCCTAAATGCCCATTAACTGAGCAATGGATTAAAAAAGATGTTTTATACAATGGAATACTACTCAGTCATAAAGAAGGACAAACTTCAAATTTTTATAGGTAAATGGATGCACCTATGAGACCATACATAGAAGTGAAATAAATCATACTTGCATGTGTAAACATCGTATTGTCTCACTAGTGTGAGAAGCTGAAAGAAACTACATACATACATACATACATACACACACACATACACATACACACACACACATATACAGTATAAGATAGTTATACTCCCAATTTCTCTGAGTACATCAAAGAGAAATATTTTGCTGATAGTGTTTAGACAATTGAATGCAGACATCTTATGCTCTGGGTGACAGATTTGGGGATGGCAATGCACAATGTTTGTACCATTGTTGTCCCAATTGTTGTTTCCAAAATTTTGGTTTTTGTTTTTTCTCTTTGAAATAAAATGAATTTTTTTAAAATGTGGTATTTTTATACAATAGAGTTCTACTCAGCCATAAAGAAAGATAAACTTGAGACTTTGTAGGTAAATGGATTCAACTAGAGATCATACTCTTAAGTGAAATAAATTAGACTCACATATGTAAACATCATATTGTCTACCTAGTGTGAGAGAAATAATAGATATGTGTATGTAATGTATATCTAAATATTCATTAAGATAGTTGTACTACTAATTTCTC